GTAGTAAACAAAGACTTCACCTTTTCTTGAGACTAGATAGCTAAACAAAGTCAGGGGCTGCTTCTAGAATTTTTTTTTCCTTTTTAAAACAAACAATAAAAATGTACAGCGAATTTTCAAAAACGTATGTTTGAAGCATGTTTCAAAATGATACGTCAGTTTTAATGATTCTAAGCAGTTTTTAATACTATGTTTCTTTCTAGACTCCTATATATGTATATATATTTAAAATAATTTGAACTCAATTGCGTTCCTCCATTTTAGTGTTTTGCTCTTTTCACTCATTTGTGATATTCATGTAAATTAAGCAAACAACATGAAGCCAATCATTTCTATTTCTTTGAAGTGTGGGTTCCATAGGTACCTGGAAAGTATAGTTTAGTAAGTCCTGAAAATCTGATGGAATTTTTCAGGGGGAAGGCTTAGTTGAGCAGCCAGAAGAGGCTATCATCAGGTCAGACTGAATCTTAAGAATTGATCTCAATTTTATGAGTCACTCCAGTAACATGCAGACCGACAACACTTCAAACCGCCTGACTCTGCCTCTGAACCTGAGATGTCACTGAACTCTGGAGCCTAATTCCTATCCCAAATGCTCTCTGAAACTCAAGGTTTTTCAAATTTGCAAAAGCACTACAAGGGTTCCATTTCTTTATCATACTTTCCAAAGCTGTCTCCCAAATCCATGGAATGCTATAATCCTCTTATTTGGAAACCTGATTTGCAAATGCTAAGAAGGTATATATGCTTTTACTATGCTTATTAGCATTAACAATTGCAAATATCTGGCAAGGCCTTGCCACCTGACTTAGGATATGAAGCTGGGGCAATCACCAAATTTGTTTCTTCAACAGATGTTTTTTGTGTGCTTACTCTAATGTCTCACAGAAGGCTAGGCAGCTCAAACAATTAGAAAACATTCTTTAAGATAGTCCGACTCCTAAAGCTCTCCCAACTTTAGGGGCAAGTGGAAAAATCATAACTGTGTTTAACTTCCAATATACAACCACAACTCAATATGAAGAAATTCCAAAGTAAGAAAAAAAGAAATTTTCCTCCAGAGATTCTCTGCCAGTCCACAGATGTAGATCTGGCAAGATGCCTGGAAACCTAGATAGGTACAATTTGGACACATCAGGTTGGTTCCTTGTAACATCTCTGAATGCATCCTTTTGGTTGCTTTCAGCTTACACCTTGTCAGCTCAGCCCATGGATTCTTTTTTCAAATAATTGACTTGGCATGTTCATTATAATGGCTCAGCATGTGACTGATGTCACTGAATGTTCCGTTTTTCACTGGAGGTTTGGCACATATTCCTGGATACTTTAATTATTCTACCTTTTTTGTTTCTCCTCATTATACATGAAGTGCTGGAGAGAGGCCATCCTTACTGATTGAACACTGATACTCCCTTTACAACGCTCTTATGGAGGGTGTTAGCTTGTGCTTCGGGCATGAGCGTGAGACTATGTGAATTAGCCCTGATTTGTGAATTGACTGTCATTTATATTTCCATAGTTGTCACACTCACACAAATCTTAACTTCTGTACCTTGAAAATGGGAATGGCAATCTTATTCCTTTCAAAAAGAAAAAAAAGGCATGTTGGGGATTAACTGAGTAGGGCTCAAAAGCACTAGGAAAATGTAAGAGAAGTCTGTCCACATAAGCCAAGAGCTGAGGCTTTCTTAGTGGTCAATGAATTTGCTTATTATAGTTTCTAAATCAGAAAACAGACCTCAAACTAGATCTGTGATTGATGGGTGATCAACTACGAGTCCGACTCTTTGTGAAGTCCCAGGGTAGATACACAAAATGTACAAGGCATGTCTTGTCTTTTAATCAGAGTTAAATACCTCATGGAATTGCTGTATGGAGAGCCACAGCCTGACCTCTTATGGTGGTGCCAGCAGCAGGGGTGGCCTTGTAGATGGCTTTGTAGTCCTCACAGGTACTAGCCACTGGTCACACTTCAAGTACTCAGTAAGCACATATGCTAAGCTACTAAGTTGGACAGCACATATTAGAACTTTCATCAGCATGGAACATTCCACTGCACAGGGCTGCTTGTCACTGATACATGTTCCTTCTTACCACTCCTCTAATTAGTCTGAAGTCAGTCTTTACAGTAGCGTTGGGTAGGTACATCTCACTCTAATGAAGAACACTGTGACACTGCATGTATAATACTGTATTTTCATACTTTCCTTTACCCAAACACTGAGTATGAGGCTAAGTGTACTTAAGTGCATGTTAAAATGAGATTTATCAACCAGTAATCAATCTAATTTTTAAAAATTATATCATGAGACAGGGGTGAAAATATGCTATTTTCCTTTCTATATCAATTCTAGTTGATTGACCTTCTGAATGACCAAGACATCACCTCCCTTCTGCCCTTGCACCCTCCAATCCCCCAAGAATTAGAGATTGATTTTATTATAGGTCCAGCCCTCTTTGTTTATGATTATCATATCTATTTAATGAAGAATGCAACACTGGCAGAGATTTAAGTGTTTTACCTGTTATATCTGCAAAAAGTGTAAACATCGAATATATTAATAGATCCAAGGTAATTTGCTCAAACTGCATTGTTTATAGTATCTTTATTGCTAACCTCACATATATCTTATATCTAACAGGGAGTAGGCTTCACATATCCATGAACATACTACTAACCAAGAGATCAAACTAGTAATATTTCAGCATAGCATTCATAAAATAAATAACAGACTTGCAGACTTGACAGACACAATGGAACTGTCAGAGAAATGGATGTCAAATCATCTCTTTGCCAAAGTCTGGAGGGGTGGAGTGTCCCTTAGTCACTAGATGAGTGATTGAGTCACAATTAGAACTCAGCTCCCTGGACCTGGAGCTAAGGCTGCTTTGGACCCTTTGTTCTTTGCTCTCCTCTGACAAGGAGATGAGGGAGACCGGCTAGGAGAAAAGGGGGAAGTTGATCTCTCTCTGATGGCAGGAAGGTGAGTCCTTCTGGTGCCTGGCCAGCACTTGGGCCATCATGCCACTACCTTGCAGAAGAAGAAGAGATGCCCTTTCTTCTTAGCCTGTATCTATCATCACTTTAAGTGTTCCATCTGACTTCAAAGTTGCCCCTTCCCAGGGTAGCCCAAGTGCTTAGTCGATGGTATTTCTGGAACCAGAGCACAGTACCTTGTCCTGGTGAGTTCATTGTGTATGTGCTATTACTCCTGGTTTTATGTGCTCCCTTTGAAAAAAATCCCTACTTCTCTTACCCTACTTCTCTCAAATGGGATCTGAGCATTTATCTTGAGGATTCATAGATGTGATTTTAGGGGACTATAAATGTCCTGGAGAGGAAATGGAAATCCACCTTTCAGTCCATGGCGTTCATTAAATATTATCAAAACTAACTATGATCGAATCAGGCTTAGAACTTCTATAAGGGAGAAAAGAAAGGTGCATTTTTTAAAAAAGAAAACAAAATTGCTGAACTCAGAAAAACTAGTAAACGGGTAGTAGGTATAATGAATACCAATTTAATGGAAATAGGCAATGTAAATGAATAATAATGCAATGCTAAAGAAGCCTAGGAAGAGGCTGGTGTGGTGGCTCACGCCTCTAATCCCAGGACTTTGGGAGGCCGAGGTGGGTGAATCACCTGAGGTTAGGAGTTCGAGACCAACCTGCCCAACATGGGGAAACCCCGTCTCTACTAAAAATACAAAAATTAGCCTGGTGTGATGACAGGTGCCCATAATTCCAGCTACTCAGGAGGCAGAGGCAGGAGAATCACTTTAAACTGGGAGTCAGAGATTGCAGTGAGCCGAGATTGCGCCATTGCACTCTGGCCTGGGCGACACAAGAAGACAAGGCTGAAGATGCATTTCCCTTTTGTCTTCTTTCAACCATTTGTTCGAAATCTGAATTACAAATTGAATTCTGCAAGTCAGTGAGATGGGAGACACCTTCCATCCTCTTCTCCAGCACTACAGCGGTGTGCACACTTACACAGACTTCCTTCCAACAATGGAGTAGTTTGGAATGCCAAGGTCAGGCTCTGTGGTTGGTGGCACTGCCTATGGTGTTGGGAGCTGTGAAATGGGGCAAATAGGCCATCACTGGTCTTTCTCTCATAAAAGGATTCCTGAAAATTTTTCCTTATGTCTCTGGGGTATTGCATTCCATGATAGGAATAAACAAGGACTTCTGATACCACTAAATTGACACTGAAATGCGGCACCCCTAATTAGATGACACCATCAAGGAGAATAAGACTCAAGACATGAATATGGTCATTCTGCCATTCAGCAAATATGCTGATAAGGGTCCTTGAAAAAACATGACCATACGGGAGCTGCAGATGGGCTTTGGCCAGGAGTAGTAGCTAGAACCAAGAGGGCAGGGATTGCTACAACCACCCCATTGTCTTTCTCAGAAGTGGCTTGCCACTGTCAACATCCATGAGAAGCAATGACAGCAGCCACCAACTTATTATGTGCTAAGGAAGAGCCAAGGAATCATGCTGTTACCTTCAATATTTAGGGAAGATAGCTCCTAATTTATTCTGTTCAATTAAAACAAGGGAACTGCGAAACTCCATATACCAAATAGTAAGAAATGTTCATAGGAACCCTGTTTGCCAGTTATAATTTTGAACTAAAATTACATGAAAAACTTCATGCAGGAAAACAAATCATGAATTTAAAAAATGTCTGTTGATCTAGAAAGATCTATGGACAATGTGAACCACTACTGTTTGCCTAAAGCAGCTGACTGTTGATGTAGTGCACTTCATCTGGTTTTCTCAACAGTTTCTCATTTTTTTCAGGGGCTCTGACCTCCAGTATCAGCCTTCCAAGGAGAGAATGGTAGTATAACCATGACTGGAGACCAGCTGCTCCAGGTAAGAATATTTTGGCAGATTCTAAAAACAACTCTTACTGGTGTTGATTGACTTAAAAATATTTTAAAAATATAACACATTATAAACCTCTTCAATATAAAGAGGCAGGATATAATGATTTGTATATTTTATTTTGACTTTACATGCGGTGTTAAAAACCCAAAGTACATATTATTTACACATCCACAATACAAGTTTACAAGATATCTATACATGTTAAAGTACTCTATAAAACAGTATAGAGCCACTTCACTGTAGGGTTACTTTTTATGCCGTACCATTAAAAAAGATACAATCTGCGTTTACCTTTGCACAAATGGATAAAGCATTTAAAAATTAAATTAACAGGATAGAGACTAGATTTAATGTTAGAAATTTCAACATAAATACTGATTGAAATCACATTACAAACTACAAGGAAGCACAATGTTACAAAATGTTATCTGGGTCACACAGAGTTACTGTTCCGTTTTACACACACTGGGATTAATATTGGTAAGGTGAATTCAAACGTTGTTGGTGGACTGAGTACTGTTTATCATTGGTTGGTTTAATTTATTAATCTGTAATATTTTAGTTGCAAAGCTGAAGTATTTCAGAAATTTTAGCTTTAGCGCTTCCAGAGATCACCGGAAATCATGTTCTTTATAAGACAATGTTCTTTTTAAAAAAAAAAAAAAAAAATAACTGTATCAGTATTTCACATTCTGTATAAAAATGATCCAGTCTTCTGCAGCCTGTCCTCCTCCAAGTAATAGGTACAAACATTATTATCCCAAGAAATCAGTCGAACTCATTTGCCTGACTACATCAGGAGCATTCCTCTGCCTTGGTACTTTCTAGATTTGGTTCACTAAACAATTGTGTGGTGTGCAGCATATTACTGAAACAGTCAGCAGGGTTGCACATCATCAACCATAAGTGGTTTCTGCCAAACTATGTATAAATGACGCTATATAGTTTCCGCAGGTGTCACGTTACCCAGGAAACCTCATTTGAGTTCACATTATCACTGTTTCATCCTTAGGAAAGCAGGAGTGGAATGTTTATCATGGCAAAGAATGTAATGCTGCTCTGAGGGTGGATTATGTAACAATTAATTGTTCTAGATTGTTTCTGTGATTTTTTGAAAACAGTCTTTTCAGGTGCTGGTTGAAAAACATTTACAACTGGCACTCAGTAAATAATGTGCTCTACTGAAAACACTTGACAGATTTTAGTACTTCTATCATTCTCATGAATAAGGCACAAAATGCACAGATTCAGGTAAACTCACATGTGGTATTTACAGTATATTGTCATTACCTGCATGACTTGGGAGAAAATTCCCACATAACACAACATGGACAACATGATTGCATCACTGTTAGGTTTTCACAGACTGTTTCTGTTGAGCCAATTACAATTCCTTTCATATGTCTTTTGTCTTCTATATTTTTTGGTTTTGTTTTGTTTTGTTTACCTTGGTGGGTAGGAAGAGTTAAAGGAGGAGAAATTTTACTATGCGGAAAAAAAACCAAACATAATCAAAATAAAACCTTGTTAGTGTGTCCAAGGTTAAATAGAGTGACTCAGGCTTTGATTCACAGTGGACAGGTAAATTTTACTACTGAATACTGAAAAATAAATCAAGGATACCTCTTAATATCTTGATCTCCTTAAGCTGGCAAGACTGGAATAGAAGTTTTAACGAATAGCAGCACAAAATCACTTGCAACTCTTACATTCTGGCATTGGGTACCACATAAGTAAAGTTCATCATTCTGATGGTCAGAGGAGCCTTGATTCTATTCCTTTTTCAAAGCTGAACCCAATGGACTCCTGTAGGAAGTAGTTATTGTTTCTTGTTCAGTCATGCTCTATGTAAACAACTCCATAGCACAAAAAGATGCAATGGGCACCTAAACAGATCCTAGTGGGAACAGAATGAACACACACACACACACACACGCGCGCACACGTGTGCGCAACAAGTTTGTTGGTGGCATGAAAAAAAATGCCACACATGAAAAGAAATGCTACAGTTGGGGTCAAAGATTGAATTTTTAGCAAACTGCCTGGTAATCTACAAGTTCATTTCTTTGAGACATTACCATCTTATTTTTTTTTTGACATTTGTGCAAGAGGCAAGGTGAATGCATACATATTAAAACGTTCACATTTAATGGGAAGACCACACATAATGGCAGTCTACATTGAACCCATTTTCAAGTATTTGTTCACAGATTCGTCTGAGTACTGTTATCAGCTCTTTATACTGGTAAGGTAGCCCCTGGGAGCTACACATCTCTTTAGCTTCAAACAAAAGAAATGGAATGACCAGCACCTTCCTTTGTTTTCAGGCAAGTACACAGAAGCCTTGCTGCAGTAGCTACATGTGGCAAGTTCTGATGTTGCCAAAGTTAGAAAGAGTTTCTTTGGCCACTTGCTTCTCTTAAAATACAAGCGAGTCTCTTGTTTAAGGTAACAACATCATCCTGTCAACAACATGGACGAGATAGAGCCACATGGGAATAGCACACTTCAGGCCTAGTACGTATATTTGTTCAGTGGTCTGACAGATGGGGTTTGAGGAACAAAGGAAGGCTTTGGTGGCACATCAGGTTTTAAGGACGGCGTCCTCTTTAGTCCCGTCCTAGGAAGAGTGCCATTACTGGTGTAGCTGCTCTGTCTGGAGAGGGAAGGCTGCAGATGAACACTCACTGGTGTTCCCTGAATATAGTCCACCTTTGCCCCGGTGGGGGTGGGCATATATCCTCCACGGTTCATACTAGGCTGTCTGGATAACAAAACACCATTTGGTGAGTTTAAGTTTTTAGGCATAGCGGATATTGAGTGCCTCTGGGAGGAATTTTTGTGATAACCCCTTTGTCTTTCCAGAGAAGTCATTGGGACTCCAGGAGTGGTGGGGACATCCACTCGCTTGGTGGGGCTGTTTCTGGGGAGAGTTGAAGGAGGGGAGTACAGTGATGCCTCCCGGTTAGGAACTTTAGGTGGGACCTCAGACACGGATCCCACGGGATCCAGCATTAAGTTCTGGTGGGCCATTTGGATGTCTCCCATGATGGCTTTGGGGTTACTATTTGGGTCATTCAGATGCTTCAGGAGATCATTGAGTGTATTTCTGGAATCGACAGAACGCCGGTGATCTCTCTTACTGGATGACTTTGTGAGAGGGTGATCAAGGTTTTGAAGCTTCTTTTCGGCTTTGTGAGCATTGGAGTTTGAGAAAGATGTGTTGTAGTCATGCGTAGCATTTGGAAGAACAATGGCACTGGGGATGTGCCCGTGACTTAACGGGGAGTGAGGTGGCGGACTAGAGGGAAAAAACTGAGGGGTTTCTTTCCTTGAAGCCCCATGGCCATGGGCCTTTTCTGAGTGGCTTTTCATGGCCTGCAGGGTCTTCTGGTGAAGCACAGGTGTAGACTCAGGAGTGGGAAGAGCAGCCAGTTCTGGAGGTTGCCCTCGATGGTCCATTACCATGGATTTAGTATCTCCATTGGGTGGTAGCTCTTTCCGACTGGTCAGCAGGTTACTATACAGTTTAGGAGAATCAATATTCTGTTGGTATTCCTTGACGGGGCTGTCAAAGAGACCATTGAGTTTGGCAAAACTTCCACTGGAGTCTGTGCATGACTGGGCGGATTCTGCATCTTTATGGATCTTTCTGTTTTTCCGAACAAACATGTCTCGATAGCAGTATACTGCCACACCTGCAATGAATGCCCCCAGAACAAAAGCAGCAAAGACACAGGTGATGAGGACATTCATGTGGACCATCTGGTTGGACTCTCCAGACTGGACTTCCCATCGTACACCTGCAATAGACACATGGGACAGCATGAATGAGGTGCTTTTTAAACATAATAATAAATAGCAAATGGCTTTCAGTGAGCCAACACGGCCTTGACGTGGTCCATATGCTTAGCTTGGAGGGTCAAGTAGACTCCAAAATTCCTTGTATATTTTGTCTTTAATCAAACTAGGATCCCCAGAGACAAAGAGGATTGCTGCAAATGCCAGAATAACTCCAATCTCCCACTGATCTGTATTTTTCTGTTCTTTTTCTCCAATCTCTCATAAACGGTTATGTTAGGAATTTTAAGAGTTTCTATCTTAAAAATAGTTAGAAGTGTATGTTTTCTAAATAGCTAACTTTAAACTCCTTATATGTTTTGTGTCATAATCTTCTCTTAATTTATAAATCAGAATTTAAGGGTAACTGCTAGGATATAGGTAAATGTAATAAATAGCATAAACATATATATGCTGAAATAATTATTCCAATACAATCATACTAAAAAAAGAACACATAATTTGTTCACAAACCAAAAATATCTGCTTGATCACTGTTAGCTATAAATAGAGACTTTCATGTTTGCTTGGATTTGTTTTTTCATTCCATCTTGGGGTGAAGCACTCTTGAATGACTGACTATGTCAGAAATCCAGACAGTCTAAGGAAACATACTGTGTATTAGTTAATTGTCAAATTATCTGAACATATTTGAAAATATTTAAATTACACCTAGAAAAAGAAGAGCAAATTAGTTTATAATTATTGAAATTAACCTTTTAATGCAACCACAGACATCTAACAATTAATCAAAAAAATGTTAGTTTAAGAGGTATTCAAGTCTGTTACATGCTATAAACACAGCTATCCCAGAGTAAGGTAAATCAGAGTGATTTTGAAGATTCTGTTGCTTTAAGTTAGTACTAAGGCCTTTGAACATTAGTTGTTTTTAATTAATGTTCAGGGTTATGGAATTCGGTGGCACTGTGAAAGAGCAAGAAAGAAAAGTAGAAAAAAATGGCGCTACTAAAGAAATCAAAGCAGAAAGAAGAATGGTTAGAAAACTGTTTACAACGAAAACATATAAAACGAAAATCAACTGATATAAATCATAAATGACAATGCGCTGCCATAAAAACTGATTGGAAACCTGATACCATAGTTTAGTAAGCACTAAAGAATAGATTTTTTTTCCTAGAGTAATATATCTAATAAGCTAACTCAACAGGCAGCTATTTTGTAACTGCTTCTATTAAGGGCTGAAAATGATAGTTATGGACAAGCACTCTCTTATGTTTCATTGCTTGCGGCATTCAAGCAACTTAGCATCTCACATATCCTTTTCAGATAGCATTTTGAACTGAAGCTAAACAAGAGGCTGAGAAAGGTTCCTAGACAAAACATCTGCTATCAGGATATTTGTAATTAATGAGTTTTGTTTTTTGATGTTGCCGCGGTGACCCTTGAAATTCCCTGAAATCCAGCAGGCTCTCTGCTTCTTCAGACAGAAATCAACACAGATTAGACTGTCGGAGTGGCTGTTTCACCAGCCCTTTCTCCAACAGCTTTCTACCTCTTTTGTCTTTTAAGGAATGCACTCAGGTATAACCACTGAAAGCTGGAGAGATTGTGGCCAGGGGCGGTGGAGGTACAACCGCAGAAGCTCCAGTGAGGCTGACCTCTGAGAACCACATACTCCTCCTCAGTGATATTAAGGATCAGGTTTCCATGCAGTTAGAGATGAGGTCCCTGCTGAGGCCTTACCCTTTGGAATACCCGATAAAGGATCAGTAAAATCAGAAGTGTTTGGATCATCTTGAACTACAAATTTCCGAGAGCTTGTCAGTTTAGGTCTCCAGGTATCAATCACTTTAGGTGTGATTTCTGGGATACTTGCCACTGTGGTAACAGAAGATGAAGATACCTCCATGTCTGTGGTGGCAAACAGATTTTTATTAACATGGACAGTGTCAAGATTTTTTTGATTGGTCTGTTGCATTTTTAAATAAAGTTTAAGTAAATTTTATGAGAAAGTATGTTCTAGGATTTTGTAAAAACACACCTGAGGAAGCTACATCAAATTCCTTTCTTTTAAGGGAGGAATGAAAACTAAAAATTAACAGTAACAACATAGTAAGCAGATTTCAAAATTAAAGATACTCAAAAGGCTTTTAGGAAAGCCCCTGTGGTTACTAATGACACTCATGAAAAAGATAATACAATCCCCAGGGCAGATTAGTTGCTGTTTCCTCATTTTCTTGTGAGACATCTTTTCATTTCTTTTTGTGTATTTTAAAAAGCACTTTCGGCCGGGTGCAGTGGCTCACAACTGTAATCCCGGCACTTTGGGAGGCCGAGGTGGGCAGACCATGAGGTCAGGAGCTCAAGATCAGCCTGGCCAACATGGGTGAAACCCTGTCTCTACTAAAAATACTAAAATTATCTGGGTGTGGTGGCACACACCTGTAATCCTAGCTACTCAGGAAGCTGAGGCAGGAGTATTGCTTGAACCCGGGAAGTGGAGGTTGCAGTGAGCTCAGATTGCGTGCCACTGCACTCCAGCCTGGCGACACAGCGAGACTCCATCTCAGGAAAAAGGTAAAAAGCACTTTCACAGATGGTTAGAAAATGTGTAGCCTTCATTGGGGAAGGAGCTATGATGGGAGTTTGTCGGAAAATATCTGGTTAAGTCTGTGAAAAGACTTGATTTTGGATGTGATAAACCAGCTCTGTCTAAGAGGTTATTACCAGGGGCCTCCCATTATCCGCTACACTGAGGCTCTGCCATCCACAGTAAAACACCGAAGCAGGGAAGGACTTTGCCTATACTCTCAAAAACCGCTGGGGAGTTCCTTCCAAAGAGTTAGAGGCAGCTAATGCAAAGGTACTGGTGTTTACTAACTGAATGAGGACATTCTAGATCTGCCATCTTTTTCTCCCCCTGAGGAAAGGAATTGCTGGTGAGTTTTAGAAGCAGCAATAGGACCGGGAGTAACTTAACCTTTTAGCATGTCTATTACCGATTTCCTCCAAATAAATTTTTCCTCAAAATGTGAGCTTACGCTTTTAGGATAAAACCTCAGAGACTGCAATTCTGACTGGTGCAACAGTTCCAGATGAAGGCTCCAAAACAGGTACAGAGAGGCTTGGAGAGCCCACTGAACATCTTAATACATCAAAAATCAGCTTAACTCCACTGAAGTCTTTTTCACACCACTGAGACCAAACATTCAAAGATTCCCAGGATTAGCGCAAACCATTCAAAGATCTCTAACTTATAAATACACATTTATAAGAAATGTGTATTTGTTTACTAGGTCATAGGAAGGGTGAGGAGAGATGGGAAAAATAATGAAATTCTGCCATCCATTAAATACGGATGGCCAGAGGAAACATTCACAATGCAAAGATGTGAGAGAGAAGAAAGCTTGGGTGGGCGTGCGTGCAGCTGGAATGCAGTCTATGTTAGCCCATTTGAATTTTCTTTAAGGATGTGCCTTGGTCAACGATGAAGTGTTAACATGCTCTACAGGGTGAAGTGCTAAATAAGAAAAGTCTTTTGGTACCATCAGAGGGATTATGAGTCAAAGCGGAAAAATGAAGGGCTGCCAAACTGCGCAAAAGGAGGGGAGAAGGGGCTGAAAATGCTGAACTGAAGGAAAGAAAAGGTTGTTAATTCAAAAAAATTAAAAAAAACTAACCAGATGTTGGACCGCCAAATATTTTGTAATCTGGTGTAGTTGAAGTAGGCAAAATTTCTAAAAGAATTAAAGGAACAAGTAATCAGTGAAAAGTAACCAAAAGAAAGCAAAAATTTATGAATTCCAATTAACTAAAAAAGTCAAAAATAAAAAAGACTACAAATTAAAAAGATTAACCTACTGGTTAGACTACCTCTCTCTAGATTTCCTACAAAATTGTAAATCGTGAAGGAAAAAAAAGTAAGCCTCTTTTCTAATGTCACCCCATGACCAAACAGCTCAGCTTTTGCGAAGTTTAAGTTAAATGCTAGGTGGTATGTGTCCTGAGTCATTAAAAAGACTGATTGTAAAATAATGTCCACGTGCAAATGTGGTCCAAAAGAAGGTCCAGGTGGGAATGGAAGACTCTGTCTTACCATGGCAGTCCCCTAGATGAGCTGTGTTGCCAAATTCTGTGTCTTGCTCATATTCTCCAGCACTGTGGTTATGGAAAGCAAAGAAGTCTTCGGTTAACAGCCTTCATAGGAACACAAGTGACAACCAGAGCAGAACCAAGAACACAGACTGATTAGTAAGAATGGGCAGAGAGAAAAAATATATATATACATTTCAACATCACTTGCTAAAATGACTATTTCTGTTAAAAACTGGTAAACTAGAATGTTTAAGGGAACAGAAGAGAATTGGTTTTTTCTCTCCATCCATTTATTTTAAGTATTATTAGGTCTACCATTTCCCTTAGGTATTATTTCTTTCCTCCTCACATCTCCAGGTTTTCTTTTTCCTGTTTCTCCCACAACAACAACAAAACAACAACAAAAGGAGAGGAAGAAAAGAAAAGTAGTGTAATTCGAAGTTTTCTACAATTTCTAGCTTTAGAGAATTTGGAGAGGATGTCTCATCCTAGTTCATGTGACAAAGTATACTTACAGCATCCCTGGCGTCACTCTACCACAGGATCCCTGGCTCAACCAGCCACAATATGGGTCACGAGATGCAATACAAGACCTGTATGAAGCCAAAGAGAATGTAGCTTGGATTTTCTTATCATCAAAGGTTTCAATGCTGCAAGACCCAGGGTAAGTAAAAAAACATGAGCTTACTTTTTACATGATCCGTAACGCTCACAGCGACTGAGGGGGATGCAGATAACGCAGCTAGAGAATGCCACATATATAGTGTGGTGATCTTTATCCAACTGTAATGAGATGACCTTTTTGTCTTCCTCATTCTCAGCATTGCACCTATTTTGTGGGAAACGTTTTGAAGCCATATGTTTAGTCAGTCAAGCGTGGTTTGGTTTAGCAATTACTAAGAGCTGGGAAATTTTAAGGAATATTCTTGGTTACAAACCAGGCAAATACATAGTTTGGGAAATAATTATGTGATTCATCTTCTATTTCTCTGCATGGTTGGTTAAATTTTTCAGGCTGGACAAAGGGTTTTTAAAGATTGCTTTCCTGTTATGATGATAGAAGTGAACTGGATTTGCGAAGGCCACATTTGACTATAGAAATAAAAAGGATAGTGTTTTAATGCATTTAAATTTTCCTGTGTTAGATGATTCTAGATCTCTCCTTAGTCCCCTTTGCTCCATTTCTCTAATGCATTTCTTGTTTTCTTTTTTCATGGTCTAAATATTCTCTTACATATTAGTGATAGGAAGGAAACGCTTAACTAGTATTACATTCTGCATATGTATGTGCATGTATATTTGTGTGTGTGTGTGGCGTGCAAGCTTACAACTGTTTGCAGCATGTAGCATCTTGAAATATATTTGCAAGGTAAGAGAGATGCTGCTAAAATGTTCCCCTATTCTACAGGTGTAAAACAAGGGCTGAATTATTTTTAAACTCATCAGATGTTCACTCTCCTTACCCTAGTGGGCTTGGGATAAAACAAACCCAGGATTTATTTCAACGCAAAAAAAAAAAACACGAAACACTAATATACCAAGCCACTGCTAATTGAGAAGGCCAAAAGGAAATGACAAGATGAAATACATGCCGGAAATTTTTGAACAGTGCTAAAGCAGGTTCTTTTAAGATACACCTACTTTGCATGGTTGTAGGCTTCAATCTCTTCCAGTAATACGCTGTCGTTCAAAGAGAAAGGACTGGTCTTTGCCAGAACTTTAAGTACCATGCCAGCTTCAGAGCCAACAAAGATGACTGTGTAGTTCTGGTAGGGCCCGGCAGAATGGTCCACCGCGATGGCTGTCAGTCTGTACCTACCAGAGGAGACGGCACAAATCAGAAGGGGAGGCCAAGGGGCAGAGAAAAGGTTGGAGGAAGGAATATTTCCCACACCATCTCACCTGACCCGAGTCTTTGTGAACCAGGGCTCATCGGCAATGGGTGGAACAGCAGAGTCCATCAGGGGATGAGATTTGATGAATGACAGGGTTTCATCCGGGAAATCGATGGAGGTTTTATAAGCTTCGGCAAGGCCGTGTTTTGCACAACAGCCAGGCCTGGAAGGAAAACAGCATTCTTTTATGCTCTCGGTCACCCCTGCCACACCATGTACTGTATCTAAGGAATAAGTGTACATTCTAAGAGAAGAGGTCAAGGGAGGAAGGAGAGTGAGTGAAACTAAAGGAGCAATGCTATGTCCCTGAATTCAGTGGGCTGTACATTCACACTCATGAGCCTGCAGGTCACAAGGCTATGTCTACTGGCTCTGTCTGAGATGCTGCAGCGGGAGGGACCCCTTCCTCGTGTGGGAGTTTGGCCCAGCTGATCCCTGAGGAGGGATGCTTCCAATGAATGGAGGGTTTTGTTCAAGACAAAATGCTTTTCGACTTTTTTATTTACCTTGGCTTTGGGACTTTGTCTTCGGGAACTGCTGTCCACACAGAATCTGGAGTTTTCTGTTCCTTAAACCGTCCTTTGAATACTTTTTCAATGTCATCCATGCTAAATGCACAGACAGCAGAACCAGGGATGCTGAAAAAGGAGAAAACCATCAGGCCAGTGACAGGGAGCCCGTCTTGGTTCTGACAGGCATGTACAGAGCATGTTTGCAGTGCCAGGGTTCTGCTCTTACCTGTTGAGCTGTGTGGTAAACACCCCGACCACAGCAGGGATGCCATTGATTTGTATTATGTCTGTAATAGACTGCAGAACATCAAAGTAGAAAAACGAATCTCCAGGGACAGAACAGTTCAGCCGAGCCTTCAGAAATGAAGTCCAGTGTTTCTCCAGGACACGCTGGGATCCACCCATGTCATTTTTGCATATGCGGGCCACACGGGAATATACAGCCTGCCCAAAGGACAGAAGCAAAGCAATGGGGTTATGAACACAGAAAGGAATGGAAACAAAATGATACTATTTAAGGGAGGAACAAAAAATGTGAAAGATGTATCTGGTTCACTAGAATCCAGCAGTCTTCTCTCTAGGGGTCTGTACAGTAAGAGAGTAAACTAGATTCACCTGTGAGAAAAAAAAAAGCCATTTTCCTGTTTTGCCAAACATGCTCCTCAAGAAGTGAGCTGTCTATCTGCCTTGCTGAATGAAAACCATTCCTGCACTTTGTCTCCAACTTTGCCTCCAGTATTGTTAATGAAATGTTTCATCTTTCAACTTAGCATAGAAGGGGTTGCAATACTTTAAAATCACATGGGCTTTCACTGAAACGCTAAAAATTGAATGGGGTCCCTACTTTCTATCCTGCCTTTTGACACTGAGAAAGAATAGACTATCAATAGATTTCTAAAGAGTAAAAAAAAAGCATCCATAGCTCAAGGGTACCTGTAGAACACTCTCCGTGGCTGCAGGAAAGAAAAGAACCCTTCTCAAAACTCAAGGCTGCTGTTCCCACTCAGGCTATTGTTCACACATTTTCCAGCAATTATTCTAATGATAAGCAACCCACCTCTCTGCACTTGGCCTTGTGTGCACTGAATTGAGAGCTGGAAAATATGTCAAGGGAGCATCCTTAACTCTACCACAGCAGTCTCAATTTCATGCAGCACAAGTTCACAATTCAAATGCATATACTTGCCTTGCCTAAATTATTATGTTCGACAGCAATTTCTCGAAAGAAGAAATAGACATAGTTTCCGTATTCTATGGCATGAAGAAAGTGTGGTTCTGAAAGAAAAAAACAACTGGTTCCTACAGGATAATTCAATTAGCATAAGACCCTGGCTGCAAGGCATGACTGACAGATGTTGCACAGTTACATTCAAGCCAACAAGAACTCCAATATGCCAATGATTTTGAGGAGTCTCAACATGGGTGTGTTCAAGCTTCAGGGAACCCGTCATCTCTAAAGTCAGCTAATGGACTGTAAAAAGGCCTACAGGGAAATGAACTACAGCAAAGGTCTTTGTTTCAACAGATTTATTCATTAACCTATTTAACTAGGGAAGAAAACCTCTTACATTGAAAATAAAAAATCTCAATTTCTAGACTCTGAAGAACAAAATGGCTCTCATATGGACTAACTGATTCTCAGTTAACTTTCCAAGACGGGTAAATGGCAAGTAGTACTATGTGGATTTAGAAAGTTAGACAAATTGGTACACACAGAGACGAGATCTCTCTTTTTCTTTGAGGTCACCTGGAATAAACATCTGGACGAACTTACTCTCCTGACGTGGCTACTAGTCTCCTCATTCCCTGTTAATGCTCCCATTCACAATCAAAGCAGTATGTACTTGTTCTAAATAAACAATATAAAGTCATGCACTGAATCTCCTGATGGCCGTGGCTGCTGTCCCCACTTGGACCATCCACCATCCTGGTGACCCCAAGACACTGCTCTTCAAAGGTACCTTTTATCCATTTGGAATCATATTTTATTGTGCGAAGGGCAGATCCATCACCCATGCTTCGATAAATAACAGCATCACTGGCCAAGAAGTCAGCCACTGTGGCAGAATACAGCTTCCCATCTGAAACCAAAGTTATAATTTTGGTAAGATAACCATAATTATCCTACAGTGTGTTAGCTTCAGTAGTGTGTTATGCCCTTTGGAGTGCTCTCACCGGTATTACCATTACCTATAAAAATAGGGCTACACCTGATGCTCACCATCAATGCGTGACAGGTCAGCCGTGGTATTATCTAATTTTACAGATGAGGGATCTAGGCATCAAAAAGTTAAGCAACTTATCTGGGGTCACTGGCCTAGTTAACAACAGGGTGTCATAATATTTACAATGTGCACTGAAATATCCTTGGCCTGAATTTTCTTTTTCTTTTGGAAATTTGTGCATAGATTTTTAGCCTTTCGAACACCTAGATCAGGGTGGCTATCCAAGTTTTTAGCTTTTACTCGTCCATTAAATTCCTTTTTCACCTTCAATGTCATTAATCATTTATATTCATTATACTAAAGGATCTTACCAGCAAAGAGGGCAACATTGGTTTGTCTGGCATCAAATGGGCATCTTGCCAGGCCACTAATTTCTTCCCCATCATATTCTAAGGTACTCAACTACAAAAGAAAAATAAATAGCCGGTGTCATAGCTATTCAATGTACCTGTTTCAAGGCAATACTGTTTTATTTGTATTAAAATTCCATTTGAAGAATTCTGTCTTCTTTCATAGCACTAGAGATAAAACGAATTACTGGAAAGCAGAAAGGTTTCAACTATAACAGCATGCCCGTGAAGGGAGAAAAGTTGATCAAAAGAAGCACATCACATAAAATATACTTACCCTATAGTATCTACACATGGGATTGAAGGCATTGGTACCACAAACAAAAACCATCTCATCGTTTCTTGGAACAAATACTTTGATAAAGTTGTGGCATTCATCCTAAAGAAAGTAGTAGTTAACATTAATATCAGACACTCAAGCATGCTGGCACTGTAGTATCAAGCCCACAGAAAGACGACATCTAGCAGACATTTGTCTGTTTAACTCACTTTATGCTTGCCTTTCATAGCACAGTTTTCTCGATCCTGTTGTCTTGATCGCCATGTCAGTTTCTGTATTAATCAAGCAAAACCCAAGTTCAGGTTTTAATTGGGAACATTTTGGGGGAGGGAGTGGAAAAATTAATCAGGTTCAGAGGGAATGCCAATAAATGTGCCAACTACCATTGCTCACCTTGCTTGGTATTACTTCTGTTTTGGGCATTTCATTTAAGTTTACTGTATAAACTTGATCCCTGTTGGAAATAAGGCAATAAAACATATCACGTGAATACATAAAAATGTTAAGCTGCTTCTTATTTTATTCTGACAGATCTGCCTTTATTGTGTTTTAGAGATCATCTGGATTTTCTCTGTCTCAAACAAAGTCAACAAAGAGTACTTTTTCATTAGTGAGATGCTTTTATATATCACTGTAGTCACAGAGCAAAGAAAGCTCTTCTCTCCAGGCATGGGTCAAACTGCTACTTGGTATTAGCATAGACATATTTCTAATATTTGCTTGAATAATTCTAAGTTAAAAAATGAATAAAGAAAGGTTTTTTTCCCCTGCTGCTTTAGGGAAAAAGAATGGTGTATGATTTCTTGATGGCAGTAATAAAACAGCACTGCTGAAGGCTTGAGCTCTGTATTTTGTTCCTGGTACACAACACTGACTCTTCTCGGTGAATGTTTCTGGCTACTTGCAATTTTTGATCACAATCACATATTAGTTTTTCATGAACTAGACATATTAATGCAAGCACCACAAGAGAAAAGAATTTTAATCTAATAAACCAACGAGAGGAAAATTACCTGCCAGCAATATAAAGTGTGTCTCGAATTTTCAACATCAGCTGAAAGTCCAGCCTGTGCTGCGATTCATTGCCTGAAGGGCGTCCTCTAAAAACCGGATATTGCCTTGAATCTGCAAGTAAAAATGGGCTAAACCATCATTCAGGATTATGGAGCTGAGGGATCAATAAACAGCATTGATTAGCTGTATATACTTGTTGTAGAAGGGTTTTAACTAAATTCCTCTCTTAAGGTCTTGAATATAAATGAATAAAAGGCAGTGAATGTCAGTAAATGATCATTCTTTTAACTCAAAATATATAACCTATATACGGGTTGCTGTAGAAAAGCACCCAACAAAACCGCCCCATTTTCTCCAAACACTAGGAAATGATTACTGATAAACTCAGGTGCAAATTCATGTTTAAGACATAAAAAAAATCTCTGCCTCTTTCTGAAAATGAACATGCTTAGAAAATGAAAAACAGAAAAGCTTCCTTCTCTGAAGAGAAGACTGTTCTTGAGATGACTTACAGTGATAGTCGACAGTATTAAGAGGTTCATCATCTTCAGGAAAGCTGATTGCCCTCAACTGGGAAACCATCAGCAGCAGTATGTAGGCACAAAGCAGGAAGACCCTCATGGTGGGCCAAGGTGAAGTCAGGGTAGCCCCTGCCCAGAAATGCCACTGAGCTACCTGGAAAACAGAAGCAGTTTGGAAAAATCTCTATGCTGCAATGAAATAGTTTTCTTGTTTGCAATCAGCTTAGTTTTCACCATCGGCTCCCTTCAAAGCCCCTCTCCCACTGGGAATGCTGGCAGTGGTAGATCAGGTATCGCCAAAAACACAGGCAAAAGATGGCAGTATGCCAAGCCTGATTAAAGCATCTCGTTGAGCATATTGAAGTTTTCAGCAAATTCACAAGAATTTTGGAGGTAACTGCATGTCATCACAGCAGAGTCACCAGAACCATGAACAGAAATGCTAGCTGCTGACTTGGCAAGAAGATGGGTAAAATTGGAATCAGAATTTTAATTAAATTCCAATCCACTTCCCTTCCCTGGGTCCTGAAATATACCCAATACAACTTGCCTCTGCCCCCCATAAAATGCTCAAGATGCCTCAAAAATAGCCAGAGGGCTGATCCTGTCATCATCTCTCCTCAGCTCTTTGCTTATGATGTTGTCAAATTCCCAGCATTACCCAAGCCTTAGCCCTAAATTCTTAAGTCGAGCAGTTCCCTACCAGCATGGAGACAATGACAAGAATGACCCTGCATCAGGGTGAAATGGAATTAAATAAAATGATTTCATGACAACCAATCAAGCAAAGCAAGGCAGGGATGAAGTGGCACAGCTGACACCAGGCCACCAGGGAAGTCTACGTTTTTACATAAAACCATTTGGACACAAACCAATACCCTAAGTATGCTGGTCCTTTTAGCTTTATTGAACTCTGGAGCTGCAGGGATCCTTAGGGACCATCTGGCCCAACCCTCTCAGTTTTCAGATGAAAAACCAAGGGCCAAAAAAAGGACTCAGTGAATTGTGTGGAGCTAGTTAAGGCAAGGTTGGAGTCCAGACCCACATCATCTGAGTCCCCGTCCAGGCTCTTTTTACCAAATGGAAAGGAGAACATAAGTGACTGGACTTTCTTCCTCCAAAAATATAGCATTACAAAAAACTATTTGGGGAAATGGATATATTCATCATTTTTATTGAAGTGCTATTTCATAGGTGTTAAACTTAATCAAATTGTACATTAAATATGTGCAGTTTATTATATATCAATACCTCAATAAAGCTATCAAAACACAGCATTAATTGCATTATAATAGCAGTAAAAAATTTAAAAGATCTTTAAATGTTATTAGCTTATTAAAAAGATAAATTAGGGCTCTGTTGGGCCAATGAGATGGATATTTCTGTAAAGTTGTAAGTGTTCCACTTTGCAACAATACCACCCCCCTCCCTCAACCAAAACTGTCACTTCCAGCCACTGTTCTGAACAACAAAACATTTAGCATTATCTTCCATCTTACATACTTAAGAACTTCAGAAGAGATTGTAAGAATCACCGCAAATTCCTGGTGAGTCCAACCACTAAACTGGGTGTTTACTGTGCCTTTTTTATGGACCTCACGTGAAACACACAGATATGCATGCTATCCAATGCTCTAAATATTTCTCCAACTAAAGTACAAATCAAGTATATGTGAGTTTTAGAGTCCCAGTTTTGCAAAAAGAGAATAATATATTGCAGTAAATGTTTCTTTGTGGATGATCCATCCAGCACTAAGTTAACATGTTTAAACTGCCTTACAAAAAGCAGATGGAATGGAAACGGTGGTGGCATCGTTTTGCACTCAAGAGCATGGACTTTGGAGTCAGTAGGACTTGGGCATGGATGAAATTATACCACATGCTAGCTTATTGGCCTGGGAACATTCCTTCAATCTCTTTGAGCATTAGTTTATCTGTGAAATATGGATAATAGCGCCTTCTTAGAGTGAAAAGGAACCAAGTGCCTAGCATATAGGAAATTCCGAGAAAAGTTAGACCTCTCTACCCATTTCCTACTGGAGAATACTGGGTATGAGAGGATAAGAGTCTCAACAGGGCCTGGGGAAAAGATATCCTCAAATATTAAGGTTATGTGGCCAGTTATTTTTCACCACTAGTTATCTTAAATCACTAGAGGACTACTCCAAGGGTAAATTTTACAACTTGTGCCTACGTATTGGAAAAATAAAGTAACAAAACAAAAAAACAATCACCAGCAATCCTACAGTAGTACTCCAACAACCACAATGATTTGGTTCTAGTTTTTGTACTACATCTGCATGGTTTCCATTGTCCTGACAAGATGATTTCTCCTTGTTTACCCCTTCTTCTGAAGCAGTGTTTTCCTGTCATGTTTTCCATACTGTTTTTATCATTTATAAAGACCTTCTAAAGTTGAAGTAGCATAAAAGTACAAAATGTTGCCCTATGAACTAGATTCTACTATGACACCAGTTCCAAACATCATCCTCTAGATACAAAGTCACTGAATCTTTCTGCTAGATATCGGGCAAAATAATTAGAAATACCAATTAATCCCAAAGAAGTATAGAAACATCTGTATTAAAACAAAAAGATCATTCTGTGACTCTTTCTCCTCCATGACAGGTAGGTGAATGGCTCACATCAGGTAAGCAGAGCCTCCATGTCCCAGATAGCAGGATGGGGAGGAGCCCTCACCAGGAAGACTGTCTCTCAGCTGTGATTCCAGCACTGCGGCTGAGGATGGAATCACTGCTGACTCACTAGCAAGCACCAAGCTGCTGGCTGAGCTATCATTTCCTATAACTCATTCATCTGACACTGCAGAAAGCAATTTCTCCCCATGCCCCACCCCTTACCACTCTAATCATCCCAAAATAAAGCCCTACCACTAACTGCTTCCTGTCTCTGTGTAAAGCTGTATTTTTGAAAAAAAAAAATAATAATAATAATAACATTCAGACTTGCCATAGTAGTTATAAATGGAGGCATTTAATGTGATACATATTTCAAAGGCTGGGGGGCAGAGGGAAGAATCTGGAAATACCTGAAAGCAATGTACCAGGGAGATGTATTTGTATGTAAACCACTCAGACTACTTATCTCTGACTTTAATTAAGAAGATATATCAGGAGTCCAGGGGTCTGAAATCATGATACTAGTTAGTGTCCTGAAATCATGATACTAGTTAGGTTAAAAAGGGCAGGCCATGAAGCAAGATGAAATGTTGGAAAAAAAACATGGGCCTTGGGACTAGAAAAATCTGAGTTTGAACTTGCTTGTGCCATTGACTTCCTGGATCTTGGGCCCTGTTTAAATTGACTTTATCTCTTTAAGCCTCAGTTTCACCGAATGTAAAATGGGAGTAATTATCTTTACTATGCCATAGGCTCCTTTTAGGATTAAATGAGATAATCACTATGAAGCATCTAACAGAGTCTGCTCCAAAGTAAATATTTGCTAAATTTTAGTGACTATCATCATGTCTATTCTGGTTATATCTTGTCTGGTAAAAAGGTGAAAAAAAAAAGTTCATTCTTTCATCTTGTACAACTATTTGCCAAACTGTTTATGTATACCATTCTAACAATGACGGGCATTCTTAGAGGATAAGGCACACAGCTTCACAGATGTAGAGGCCTCCTACTAAGAGGAAACCATATTCCTCACATGCAAGCTTAAAAAACATTCCTACATGAAGTTACTCCTTGTTCTCTGACACAGTGAGAACAAGGATGCCTGAATAGTTAAGCTTATTCACTTTTTGGTATTTTATATGAACTTCTCCCATACATTCCTGATGTTAAATACTAAATATGATGAGCAAAGTTCTTATGGGAGTTGAGAGCTGCCAGAACAACTAGGGCTTGAGTGACAGGATACTTGAGAGAAGGCAGGTGCACAGAGCTAAGCCCTATACTCAGCACTTGATTTTGCCTTATGAATATTTGCTAACTTTATATTTTTATAACATTTATATATATATATTATATATTATGATGTAATATTTTTATCATTTTATATTTGCTAATTTTATATATACTTATATACAACAACTTAATGCTTATATACAACAACTATATACAACAATGCTATATACAACAACTATAAAAATTTCTAGCAGTCACAAGTTTAGGACTCACCAAGAAGGAAGAGTACCAGTAAATAACAAAAGGCTATCATTTGGGCCTCTGAAAAGCTACACTCCAGAAGAGGAGAAAAATGTAAGGCAAACCATGTTTTACAAAAATTCCAATCCAATCCAATCCAATCCAATAAGCTAAGTCCCAGGCTGGATGGATATAATCTCCCACTCTAGCTGCTTGCCAGAAAAGATAAGATTACACTTCTTCACAAAAAGATATCATCCAGAAACTACAGTTCTTTACATGCATTGCCCAATGTTCAAGTAGAAATTATTACAAATTCCAAAAACTGCAACTAAGAAAGAGAGAAAAAAACACAACAGAAATAGGCACACAGGTAGCCCAGATATTAGAGTTATCACACATATGTTTTGAAAATAACTGTGCTTTTTTTGTCCAAGCAAAGAAGATGACAAGACGGAGAATTTCACCAGAGAACTGGAATCTATAAAAAAGAATTAAATAAAAATTCAACAACAAAAAAGCACAATAAATAACACATCTTCAATAGATGTGTTTAGCAACATATTTGTCAGAGGTGAAGAGATTAGTGAAAAGACAAATAGAAATTATCAGACAAATATGGAGAGCAAAAAGATTGATAAAAAAAGGACAAGAGAGTAAGAAACATAGGAGTTTGTGAAAAGATGGACATACTGGAGTCCTTGTGACTGCAGAGAGAGAGATGGGATAGAAGCAATATTTGACAAGTTAATGGCTGCACACATTTTCAAAACTGATATAAGATTATAAGCCACACATTCAAGAAATTCTAAAAAGTTCTAAAAAAAAAATCACACACATCGTAGTCAAAATGCTAAAACAAGGACAAACTTTAAAAATGTTAAACACTAAGATGCATTACCTTCCAAAAAGCAAGAATACTACAGACAGCGGACTTCTCAGTGGAAACAATGGAAGCCAGCAGAACATAGAATGACATTTTTAAGTTGCTGAAATAAATTTCCAGCCTAGAATTCTACAACGTGTAAAAATATTCTTCAAAAATGAAGGCAAAATAA